AGGGGTCAACCAGGGAAAAAGGAGACATACATAAAACTTTAGACAATAAATAAAATTAAAAAGAGCTTCACAGACAAGAGAAAGCTAAAGGAGTTCATCACCAGCAAACCAGTATTATATGAAATGCTGAAAGGTATCCTTTAAGGAGAAGAAGAAGAAAAGGAAAAGATACAAATTATGAACAACAAATACACATCTATCAACAAATGAATCTAAAAATCAAGGGAATAAATAATCTGATGAACAGTATGAACTGGCGATTGTAATAGAATCAGGGACATAGAAAGGGAATGGACTATTCTGGGTGGGGGGGAAGGGGTGTGGGGATGAGGGAAGAGATTGGACAATAATCGTGCACCTATGGATGAGGACAGTGGATGGGGAGTGAGGGCGGAGGGCGAGGTGGGAACTGGGTGGAGGGGAGTTATGGTGGGAAAAAAGAGTAACTAATGTAATAATCTGAACAATAAAGATTTAATTTAAAAAAATAGGTATAATGACACTACATATTGGGCAATGGGCAAGATGTGAATATCAATGCAAATTAGGGAATAGTATTTTAATAATATTGAATTTCTTGATTTTAATAATTCTATGGTGGTTATATAAGAAAATGTTCTTGTTCCTAGGAAATCTATTCTAAAGTAGATATGGGTAAAGAAGCAAGACATCTCAATGGTTAAGAAAATAATGTATATACTTACTGGTATATGTATGCATATATGTGTATACACAGATTCCTTTCCCCCCAAACACACAAGATGGCAGAGTCAGGAAGACTTCCTGGAAAAGGAGTATTTATTTACACAGTCTCCTAAAGAAACCCATACCAGTTAGCTAGGTAGGGTGGTTGTGGAAGGTTGTTCCAGGTAGAAGAACTGATTCTAGAAAAAGAAAGTTCACAGATGTGTCCAATGGAGTACATAGAAGTGAGGGGCAAAGAGTGGTGAAGGGTGAGGCTGGAGAGACAGACAAGGGTCCAGCTGGCCTGGGCAGGCTGCTTCCCACAGTTTTAGGCAGGGAAGTGACCTGATTGATCAGAGCCCTTCTGGCCCTAGTACATGAGAATGGGCTGCAGGGGCCAAGACCAGCCACAGGGAGGCAGCTTCTTAATCTATCCTCCTACCTTCCTCCAAATAAATGACTTCTTTCCCAAAGCAGAACAGAAGGCAAAGGGGGATTGGGTAATCCTTTTATTGTGTAAACCTATTACTTTCAGAGAGGGAGGAGCATGCTAGAAGCAACCCTTGCTGAATAGCTGTTGGTTGAAGTCAGATGAATTATCAAATGAAAAACAGGGGCTTCCAACCAGGGCCTGGAATTGTA